CTGAAAGCAGCCATTGACAACAAGCAAACAAAGGACAGCCACTGTGTTCCAATAAAACTTTATTGATACATACTGAAACTTGCATGCCATATAATTTTCATGTTACCAAATGCTATTCTTCTTTTGATTTTTTTTTCAGCCATGAAAAAATATAACAAACAAACAAGCAAAACCATGGGTAGCTCTAGGCCGTGCAAGGTCATCAGAGATGGGATCTGGTCTGTGGGCTGTAGTTTGCTGAGCCCTGGAGTAGGGACTGAGATAAGGACTGGGATTCTTTGTTTTCCATGTGGATATGGAGATTTTCCTGCACCATTTGTTGTGAAGACTATTCGATCCCATTTTATACTATTTTTAGAGTTTGATCTAAGAATTCAAATATGCATCTTTAACTTATCTGCAAAAATATTCTACCATTTGTTGTTGTTGATGTGTGCCGTGGAGTCCGTTCCGACTCATAGCCACCCTGTACAGGGTTTCTGAGGCTGTAAATTTTACAGGAGCAGAAAGCCTCATCTTTATCCTGCAGAACAGCTGGTAGTTTTGAGTTGCTGGCTCTGAGGCTAGCAACCCGATTCGTAACCACTATGCTACCAGAGCTCCTTATTCTATCATTTAGCTGTGTTTTATATATATATATATAAATGCCTTTTATCGGGGAAAGAGAATTCTTAGTCTCTTAATTGCCTAGAGCTTTTGTTAGGAATGGATGTTGGATCTTGACAGATATTCTGTGTTATTTGTAGAGGTGATCATTTATTTTTTCTGTTTTCACTATTTGTTATGGTAATTAATACTAACTGTGTTTTGACTGTAAGACCAACTCTACATTACTGAAGTTAGCCCCACTTGGTCATAATGAATGATCCCTCTTGCATATTATTGAACTTGATTTTCTGACATTTTGATCTGTGTTCATGAGGAGCATTTGTTTTGTAGCTTCCTTTCCTTGTAGTGTGACAGTGACACCATGGGGATGCTGGCAATGGAATGAACTGGGAATTAGTCCTTGCTGCTCTGTCTTAGGCAACATTTTCTAGAGAAGCAAAACCAGTGAAATATATAGATATA